CACCTGGGTCCATTTCTGCAGCAGCTCATGTCCATGAACACAATGACGGTCTCTGAAATTGGCCCTGATACGGCGCAGATAATCTGGAGATTCACTTTCACTGGAATAACTTTCAATCCCAAAAGCTGTGATGCAAGCATTTGAACAGAAGAGGAGGAAGAAAAATGACTAAAATATCTTGAATCTCTATCTCTTTCTCTCAGTTCTTACAGTATCCCCTCTCCCTTTATTTCCTTCCTTTCCGTCTCTGTGTCCTTTGCATATGATTCTAATCCTGAAATCATTTTCAATAAAGGTCCATATATCAAGTACCAAGCAACAACCATAGTGGCCTGCATTTGAAAGTAAATCTGTTGTGCTAATATCTAGTTCTGGGAATCTGTGTCCCAGAGCTAGATTGGCAAAAAAAAAACTTGAACAAGAAGACACAGACTAAAATTATCTTGTACGGTATAGTTAAAAGCTGCATCCTTAAAACTGCATATGAAAACTAAAGTAACAGGAGAAAGCTAAAATTTACTTTATTTACTTTTTTTTTTTTAAACAATATGTTATCTTATTAAGAAAGCAAACCAGGTCATCTGCAGGTGTGATTTTCTCTCTTACACCGATTCTTAGACAGGACTAGCAGACTGAATGCGCCCTAAAACATCTCGTGAGATTAGTGAAAAACTGTCACTATCTACTGTATAACAAGTAATGTACTATTGGGAGTGAAAGGCCCCTCAGTGAGGATAAATCCATCACACCATTGCAGTATTAAAGGCTTGATTATATCAAAGGTAAAAAAAAAAAAAAATACTTCATTTTGAATAAATGCCCTGTGCTTCGTTAAAAACTAAAACTCCAGTGTTTGTCTAACAGGGCCAGTTGCATTTAAAGATCCCAGATAAGGAATGCAAGTCTACCAATCCAAACTCAGCTGCAGGGGGTTGCTCATTGTGTGTGTGGAAGAATTTAATTATCTGTAGATCTGCAGCACCTTTCAAAATAGGTGGCATTATAAGGGGAGAACAGTGCATGGAAACGGTAAAATAATATTGCAATAGTTCAGTATAAATGGGTCTTCCATTTGCAAAACAACCCTAAACATACTGCAAAGGAGGTAAAAGAAATGGCTTTAGGAAATATGTGTTTTCGCTTGACAACAAGAAAGTTCTAACCTTAAACCTACAGAAATGTATAGTGTGTGTGAGTAAAGCGACCCACAAACATGCTTCATCTACACCAGTTGTTTTTAAAGAATAGACCCATAATGCTGCAAAATATTTAGTCCAAAATATTCGACAAGTCATTCAGTATGAAAGGTAGTTTAAAAAAATTCTAAGAGAGATTTTATTTAGGATTTTAGAATTTATTATTAGCTGACATGAAGAAAGAAGTGTAGTACTGTTCTATAATTATTATATCATTATAGACTATTTGAATCTCTTTTTTTAAAGCATGTCTTTTCTTAACCTCTAAATGGAAAAAAAAATATATTTCACTTTATTTTTCTCACATAACTTTAAGCTGATACTTCAGACCCACAACAGGATGACCTGTTAATCTTAATAACAGTGAAACATTAAGTTCTCCTCCTGCCCAGTTGAGCTTCTACATAAAGAACAAAACACCCCCTTACAACTCCTCGGCTTTAACTCCATCTCTTCATTTCAGAAAGAGATTATAATTGTGAAAACCTGCATGCAATCAGCTCCATTGTTGCTCTCAGAGGATCTGTCCTCTGAGCACGACGCAGCAGCAGAAAGATGAGGACAAACAGTAGCTCGGGATGACTGATGGGCTTAGAAAGCGAAATAAGGCGTCTACTTTTTAATGCAAATCGTTGGTTATTTTTTTGTGAAATTGAAATGTTAGGAGTTTGGATGGAGTTCATCCTGCAACCACAGGGTCACGGTTTGAAGCCCTGTCTATCTGAGTCACTGTGTCCTTGGGCAAGACACTTCACCCTCATTATCTAGTGATGGTATTGAGATGCTATGGTGATATAGAGCAACATCGCATCTGTCAGTGTGCCCCAGCGCAGCTGTGGCTGGGATATAGCTCTCCACCATTACTGGGTGATTGATTCTTTGTAGCGTAACGAGCTATAGGGGCGACATAAGTGTCTATATTACCGAATAGATAAACAATTTTTCTACACTTTTTCATCCTGAGTGGAACCACAGAGTTAAAGGCAGACATGGGGGGTTTAAGAGAGGGGTCCAGTTGAGGGAAGGTCCACTTTGGTGCACTGTTGTCTGAGTGGGATTTTGATGCTTGTCATGAGGAGGTAGGTTGCTAGCTGATGGTCCTCAGGTGTTGGGGTTTTTGTGGGGCCCAGTGACAAGTGGCTGTCCATCTAAACCTGGGTTACACGGCAGGTTTTTGCCTGTCCATCAGGTCAAGATAAGGTTATCTCCTCGGCGTTCGACAGTCTTCCTGCATGGTGCATGGGTAGAACTTGTGCTACACTACGGGGGGATTGGTGCATTGTGTTTCCCAATGCCTTGCCTTGCAACTGGCTGCTCTCTTTCTCTGTCATAGTAGCTTCTCTAAATAAAACGCTGGTAAGAAACACCCAAGTGACTTTTTGAATAGCTGCACAACAAAAGACAATTCTGCCCACTTAAATGTACCAGCCTGGTTGACCTTGTGCACATTGTTGCAGACGCTAATTTAGCAAAATAAGTTAGTGGCATTATCAGATTTGCCACTGTTAATCATACAAGAGTAGAAAGGTAGAGTCTGACAGTACATTGACATAATGGGGAGTAATTTATACTAAAACCATTGGAGTAAAACATATAACATTGTAGATTAACATCATCTATCTGCAGGCAGTTGTTGAAATCAGGTAGTTTTAGTCATCAGCTCCATCTACTGTTTAAAATAGGAAATGCTATCAAGGTAAAGTGCTTCGAGTGAGAGTTTAAAAAACAGGATTTCTACTGTTTGTCTCTGAATCACCTTTTTGTTGAATGAATCTGCCTTGACAGAGGTAGACCACCACCTTACTGAGCCATTTTTGATACCAAACAGGTGGCGCTGTAGCTTAGCTGGTCAAAGTGCCTGTCTTGTAAACAGGAGATCCTGGTTTATAGTTCCTGCAGTGCCTTGGTGCATAGTTGTGCAAACCTGCTTGTTGTATTTTAGGGGTGTGCTGGACTAGTGGGTTAGAGCAGTGCACTTGTGTTCTGAGAGGGTTGCAAGTATTTTGCAAGTATAGTTTGATCCCCATAGCCTGCATTCTGGGTTCATGACCTTTAACCCCCCAACTGCTCCCTGGGCGCCGCAAATGGCAGCCCACCACCAAGGGGATGAGTTAAATGCAGAGAGAGAATTTCATTGGTTTGTACTCGACAATGTAATGACAATTACGTCTAATTCTATCTATTAAACACAGATAAGCAAATACAGAATTCACATTACTCGCCTTATGCAAACAAAAGGAAATGAATAAGAATTTAATGCAGTAGATAAGTTTGAAAGTTTATATTTTGTGATTGGGATAAACTTCTTAATGTGACCTGCTGCTATGTTTGAGATAACATTCAGTGTACGGGTGTTACTTTGGAAAAAAATACTTTTTCTTTGCATATTAATTGAACTTTATCGATCTCACATAAGAAAAAATTACCTCTGCATTTAACCCATCCTCTTGGGGGGACTGCCATCGTGGAGCAGTCTGTTGCAGTGGATTTCAAACTCGCAACCTCAGGATTCCAGTCCCTATTCCCTAACCACTAGACTGCCGCTCCCAACTAGTGCATGCTCTCCTTCCCTCATATCAAGTTAACCCTGGAAAAAAAGGTCAACCACCTGTACAGTCAGAGGTATCTCATTTAATAGCTTACAAACAAAGGCTGTTTTCTTGAGGGGAATGTTAATGTAGCATCCATATAATCCCACTGCAATCTCTGGATGAGACCCAGATGTCTGAGTTAGTCCTGTTGTTATTCCAGATGTGTGATCAGATCAGGACAAGGTGATCATGGAGGCACGACGACAGGTTTATTACCTGAAGACAAATCATGTCGCCTCTTGTTCAAGTGGGGAAAAAAAATTTAAAACAGCAGAATGACACAACAGAAACCCTTCAGAAAAATCTAAGAAGTCCAGATATAGACTGTGTTATAGTGGTTACAATGGAAATAAACAATAGATTAAAAAAAATAATAATAATTTATGACTGATGGATCAGTGAAGGCACATTTGATTCATCTTAAACTACAGCAGATTTTGTAGGCTTTTCATCATCTTCACTCCTTATTTAAACTGAATCGATGGGACCCAGAAAATGTCCCTTTAATTAAATTGATCGTTTTATAAAACTACGTCCACATAGGCAGCAAATTAAAAAGATTAAGAGGTTTGAATTTATGCAAAACAATACAATTCAAACAATGTTCTACAGCTAAGCACCTCATTCTGTTTAGATCTGAACTTATATCACCGCGGCTGATTAATATCCACAGCCCAGAATCTGGTGTGTTTAGGTCACTTTAAGTCAGATTCAGGTATGTTATGAGGTCCTGTTGTGTAAAACAGCAGAACAAAATAAGAGTGGACTGCCTTCAGGGGTGGAAATAAAACTGAATTTAACAGTTTTGCAGAGTTTTCAAGAATAAAAATGGGCGTCACATCCTTTAATTTATTTTCACAATCGGGGACCACTTTTTTTTTTTTCTCTCTAAATATTAGTGGTACAAATTAAGAGCCTTGCAAATACATAGAAGTGCTTCACATTTGGTCACTTTGCAGCAACAAACCTTTTTATGTTGGGCACCAGCAAGTGGTGTAAACTGAACAGGAAGGAAGAGAAGAAACAGGTTTTATAATGTATTGATGGGCATGTATATGTCTTACTTTATTCTGGTACCCCTAAATATAATCCAACACGACTATTTTAAGGTCTTAGTAATAAGTAGTCATTATGATCGATGCAAGAAGATTTGTTCTTTCTCTTAAGGAAGCAAGAACAAGCAGATGTTCCTTATGAGGAGAGGTGGGCCGGTGATAAGATTTAATCCAACTTTTCAGCCACTTTTACCAAGAAAACTGTACTTGAAATCCTTCAGCTATACTAAGATGGCTTGAAGCTTTAATTCGAATCGGAGGTGAGTTTACAAAGTGGCGGAATATAAATTCACACATTTTATTTTATCTGCTTTTTGGAAATAAAATCCTTACCATGTATGACTTTCTTTTAAATAATTAACAAGACACTTATTTGTGTTGAATCCTAATAAAATGCACAAGGTTTGTAGGTAAAACTACATTGATCATATGAAAAGGCACAACTCTAGATGGAGCTTGATGAAGCTCTGTAAAACTGAAACCATAGCGATAACTTTACCCCTAAAGCTGCTATGACATAAAGAGCTGATTGTCTCGAGAAATCAAACGAAAAAGAAAAAAGAAACCTGCAGAGGCAGACTGCATGTTTGTACATGAGAAAATAGGGCTAAAGCATAAAAAGGCAGGCATTAGGAGGGCCCCTGGAGTAAAGTGGTCACAGTTCATGGGCTTAAAGTCACTGGTTTGCCTCAAAGTGGGAATCCCTATGAGAGGAGCGTCCAGTCCTCCCTGAGTAATCACTGCCATGGTGCCCTCAAGCAAGGCACTTTTATACAGCAGGCGCTTGCTCCAGCGCAAAGTTCAGCATCTAAATGGACGAAAGCGAACCTTCCCCTGGACAATAAAATCAAAACAATAAAATAAAATAAAACTGGGTTTTGTGTCCATCTGTGTTCCCAGTTTGAAATGTGTCCACAGCAGATTTTTTCACACTTTTAAATAAATTCAAACATTATGACTATGCTGAAAATATACATTCTGGCAAACATTGTGCAAAAGTTGTAAACAAAACATATTTTATGTGGTTGGGTGGGTTTTGTCACAGCCTGGTGGGCTCATCGTCACTGTCACTGCAGTTACCACAGCAGTCCTGCAGGGGGAGACAGAGACAGTGTCAATTGGTTAGATTGTCCAATCTAGGAAGAATCATCTGACTGGTAAGTAAGTAGGAAACTTCCAGCTGTTAGAGTAGCTATTCTATTTAAACCACTTAAAATGGTGGTATTTAAGGAGAATCTGGTCAAATAAAATACTGATTCATAAAAAGTTCAAATCAATCTCTACTGTGCAAACATTTTCTATGTTAATCAAATCCTGCATTGTGCTTAAAGCAGATGAATCCTGCACACGGACGCTGTTCTCACCTGTCGGCCGAAGAGCCGCTGCAGCAGTCCTTGTTTGGGCGTTGGGGACGGCTGCCCTCTCCAGTCCAGGTCGGGAGGAACGGCGCCGTCCTCGTGAAACAAATTCAATTCAGCAAAACACTCCGTCTCGATCATCTGCAAGGCGGAACACAAAACAGGAAAAAGTGAACAAACTGAACTTTTTTATGACACTTTGATGAAAAAAAGGTGTTTCTTACTGTTGGACGGTAATAAGCACACATGAATCAGTCACTTCATTATCTTTGACTATTCATGGTAACCAAAGGAGAAATGTTCGTAGAGGATGGAGTTCTGCTCTGCTTTAATACCAAACTATTAACCATGCTCTGAATGTCTTCCTCAGCTAGATTTATAGTAATATAACAGAAAGGGAACACGCATTACCTTTTATGGTATCTCGTATCTAGAAGGGGGCACTTTTATAACAAAACTGAGGTCAAAATATATTAAAAATCTGTACAATATACTAAAGCATTTCCTAAAAACCTGTTCAAATGATAGAAACATCTTAATCAAACAAATTGTTTTAGTTTCCAAACAGCATTGTTTAGCTATGCTTGCAGAAATCTCAAAGCACTACAGTTTAATTCTCACTGGGTGTTTATTCTAGTCGCTGGGTTCTGACCTCGTTCTGCCAGGGGATGGAGACGCAGCCCGTTGACACTTTGCTGTAGAACGACTCGTCTTTAGGGTCCAGCTCCACGCCCTTTACCGTGGAGAACTGCTCTATGTCCAGAACGTCTTTAGCATAGATGGCCTGAGGCTAAAAGCATCACAAAAGAAACGGCAGGGTTAAAGCAAAGGTTACAGAAAGAATTAACTAATGAGAAATAAATCCTCTGCTGAACGACAGGCTGCAGGACGACTCAGTGTCCCAAATAATTTCAGTTTTACATTTTAATCTGGCCTGAGCCTTAGTGACATTCTGATTGGACAGATTAATTAACTCCACTTCCTGTCTCTATTTAAAGAGCTTCTCATTGAAAAAGATGATTCTTCTTCACGTATATTATTAGCCTGTGCTCATAGAGAATCACTGACATTGATGAGGACTGTCACAACTGGAGATTATTTTTGTAAAATTTGTATATTTTTAGTTTGTTAAACCAAAATTCTGAAGAACATGAAATGAAGTGAACACCAAGATAATAAGCTGCAGATTCCTTGATTAAAACCTTAAAATAAATAAAAAGGACAATAAATAAGTAGTTTAGTAAAGAATCTAACACAGGACACTTTGCAGTTCTTGTTTAAGGTCTCAGCAAATAAACAGTCTAAAAATCATGTCAGGAAGAAAAGAATCCAATAAAGAATTTAACACTTAGGATTGTCATGTCCTGGATAAATGAGGAACCATATCTGAGCATCATTTGCTGTAGTTCTTTTTTTCCCCCTCTCTAAATAAAACGAGTTCCTGCAGAAAAAACGCTCATCTCTATCTATTCACTGTATTGCTGATAGGCCGAAAAAACTGAAGTCACTTGCACGATCTTAGTACTCCCTACACTCACGGAGTCGCGCCATAAAAATGCCAACTTGTGTGGCATTTGGCTGTAACAACAAGCAGTTTTCTGCTGTGAGAATATGTTTCAAAGGTTGTTTACAGGGCTGTCAACTCTCACTCATTGGGTTTGAGACTCGCGCATCTCTGTGTCTTCACACACTCTCGTTCCGTATCTGCGATTTTTCACGTTAAAAAAATGACGGACATTAAAACTCAACTCCATTCTACTCATTTATATATAAAAATACCATGATGACAAAAATCCAGTCCGTATTTTCAACACAACTTTGGCGCTAATGCATGAAGACATGCCGGGTTCATACCCAGTCCGTATTTTTGCACCAGCCCATCTATTCACTGTACCAGATATTGAAAAAAGACGGGCATTTCTGAACAGTTATTACCAGCTTTCTCTTTGGATTTTTTTTTTTTTTTATCTTATCCTTATCTCATCTGGTCTAAGATGGTTCACTTTGTAAATAAATAAATATTTTAAGCAATCTAGTACTTGAGTAGATATGAATAAAATATACAGCAGTTAGCTTAAATTATCAATGGGGAGGCTGAGTGTAGGATTACATCAAACTGACATCAAATGGTTTGTTTTCTCTATACCTACAGCTTTTTATAGTACGCTTGAATCCTTGTTTGCACTAATTTGGCCACTAGATTAATTATTTCTCAGTCTAGTTTAATAATTTCCCGTTGGGATTTAGGATTAATTAAACCAACACAAATATCTAAAGCTTTCAGGTTTGCCTCATAAACCCATAGGATGTACACAAAATAAAATAACCATTGTATTTTACTTTTCAAAAGATCAGCCACTCAAGACCTACCACATAAAACACAGACAGGATGTACAGAACCACTCAGTATCCAGGATATATAACCAGAGGGATGTTCTTATTTTATTATTACTTATCTTATTCATTTATGCTTATTTTGGTCCATAAATTTTGGTCCAAAAAATGTTTAAAAACTTAATTTCCATCACGTTGTCCAAAATGAAACATCCAGAAAAGTGTTGTCTTACAGTATGTCATGGAGAGTTTTTAGACTTTACAGCTTCCTTGAAGGTCTGAATTGTTTAGCTGTTTTGTCAATTGTAAAAAAAAAACTAAGAAGATGATGAATTACGATTTTTAATCCTATTACCAAATATTAATTTACATTGTAGTTTGTACAAGATTCGATTGCACTGGTTCCTGTATTAGTGCCAGTTATTTAGTAATAGGTTATTAGTTCCCCATTGGTTATCTTAGTTAAACTGCATAGAATAATTAATAAACACAGTTGTTAAAATTCTTAATTTACATAATATATTACATAATATGCCGATGTTTATTAAACCACATTGTAATACAGTAATATCATTTAGTTCTTCGTATTGGTGACATTAACTCTTGTGACTAAAATTTCCTCCTCCTGATTTATGAATAAGTCAAAGTACAAAGAGGAACATTTCAAACATTTAAAACCTAGAAGTTAGCCATTAATCTCTGTGCATCAGATCCTCTCTGTACTTTTTTCCATGCTGCTGCTTACTGCGGTCGTTCGGATGGACTTACATCGGGGGTGAAGGGTGCCTGCAGCATGCCAGCCTCAAGCCGTTTGAAGTTTATGTCACGGAAGATGGGGTGACCTTTAACCTCAGAGGCTCCGCCCCCCAAGGAGCCCAGCCTCTCTGTGGGATCTTTGGCCAGCAGCTGATACATGCAAACAAATTTCCACATTTTTAGTTTAAAAAAATTTATTAATATATAACTTTCAAATGGAATCTGAAAGCCTCAGCTTTATAGACTGAAATAAAGCTCATAAATATCAGAAGGAAGAGGTACGATTAAAGCAGGTTGGATGAAATAATGGAGACCTACCATTTTACAGATGGACTTGGCATCCTCAGAGAATTTAATGGAGTATTCTTCCTGCACCTCCCTGACCAGCCGCTCCACCTCCTCCCTCTTGATCTTCTTCTTCCTCTGCTGAAAAGGCGACTGGCCTTCAATCATCTCGTACAGCAGGCAGCCCAGCGCCCACCAGTCAGGACTGAAGGTGTACCGCTCGTTCATCACCACCTCAGGAGCTGCACAACACCAGGAAAGGAACCTTGTAAAGCCGCAGTAACTTGATGAGGCCTGAGAGGGTGCCGTATATTTTTAGGACAAAAGGAAAGAATTGGCTTCTCAATGCTAATAATGGATTGCTGGGTTAGGAGTCTTCTTTTGAAAATGTGGAAGAGACGAGAGAACATGACATTCAAATAAGGCAGCTGTTGCTTGGTTCCTATTAAAGTTTGTCATCAGGAAATATTTCAGATACCAGGATATCTTAAAATTTAAAAGACCTGCCTCAGAACACGGACAATGGATCATCCTTCATTCTCTCAGTAGGATAATAATCCAAACACTTCTTCAGATTTTCTTTTAACTAGACTGAATTAATGGCCTCAACATAAGCTTTCAATTTTTTTTATACCTTTTCTATCAGCAGGTGATGCCATGGTTTCAGGGAAGATGTTAGAATTACACAAAACATGGATAAAGGAGTGAACATTCATATTCCTTATTTTCTTAATCTGATAATTTGAAAAGATCAACAGATTAATAAAAAACTGGGGGAATAAAACCTCACCCATGTATCCAACAGTCCCCACCCGTCCCTTGATGGTTTGTCCTTCAGGCACGTGGATGGCCAGACCCAGGTCTGATATTCTGATATGACCTGGTGACAAGAAGCAGCAAATATATTTAAAACACCTCAAGCAAATGAACAGAAGTGTCCTTCAAATAAATATCTAAGTTTTAAATAGCACCTGTCATCTGAGATGTTAACATTTAAAACAAAAATTACGTATCCTAATCACATTAACTAATGTTTTGTCCAAAGGGAAGGACATTTCTTTTCTTAGGCATGTCACAGTTAGGAATTAGAGCGCCCTCTGGTGTTGAACATCAGATACTATATTTTCCATTCAAGATCAAGGCTGATTTTAAAGTGTTATGCTCCTGGAAAAAGTTATTAAGTAAAATAACACGAAAATCAAAACACATTTAGATGCATTTTTTTTTTTTAAGTAACCATGCATGTTTAAGACAAAACTGGCCAATAAAGAAAGAATAGATAACTGCATGAAATATAATACATTTGGACTTTTTTTTTCTCTACCTTCACAATTAAGAAATTGGTTTAAAAAGCAACATTTATTGATATTGTGAAAGAATAAAATTCTTTACATTTTAACTTAGAAATGAAAGTGATTCAAGAACAAATTTAGTTAAGTGTTACAAGTTTTATTATTTTCTTTAAAGCAAACATGAACGTAAAATGTTTTTTTTCATACATAATTATAATCACAATATATACTATATGGTAAGCTGCTGATTAGGCCACTCACCGTGGTCATCTAGGAGGATGTTTTCTGGCTTTAGGTCCCTTGGAGAAACAATAAACACATTCGCATAGTGAGACACAGGATGAGTGGATTAGATGAAGCTAAGTTGGTCTTTAGAGGAGCTCACCTGTATACAATCCGCTCTCGGTGCAGGTCCTCCAGCCCACAGCATATCTCTGCGGCATAAAACACGGCCCTCTTCTCATCAAAGCCGGCCTCTCCCATGTGGTAGATGTGAAACTTGAGGTCTCCGCCATTCATGAGGGTCAACACGAGACACAGGGCATCTTTCGTTTCGTAGGCATACGCTAAACTAACCTGGACAGAGAACAGCTCTGATTTATTCCCACTAATCTAGAAAACTCCTCTGTCCAAAATTTACCATGAGACACAAACCATAGACATACATATAATACTCTTATACGTATATAACTCTTATATAATGTCTATGACACAAAACATAGCGACAGAGGAGGGC